AGTTCAGCTATTTTGAACTTGGGTTTTGCATAAATGCCATGAACAGTAAATATCCAACCTGTTTTAGATAGCTCTTTAAATTATCTTGATTTGGAGAAGCAGAGTTGAATGCTAACCTGATGGATGAGCTAATGGCTAATCTGAGTGGGACAAGACTAAAGTGGATTACTGCCGTCTCAAAACATCTCAACACTATTTTATAAACTGTTTCTTGACCACAGTTATTCCCTCAGACATGTCTGATTATTCTTGAAGGATGTGGCCCTGGCTGCAGTGGATGTGCTACAGCTAGCTGCTGCTGTCTATAACGATAGAAATATATGTAAATAACTAGTTTTATCTATACCACTTTACAATAAGACTCCCCTTATAGATGGCTAATAGTTTACAGATACATTATTAGTTCGTCTATAAACGCTTTATAAATCATTAACAACCGGATATTATGCATTAATTAAGGGTGACAGAGACAAAACTGACCAGTTTCTTGAACCAAATTTGTTCACCTATATATTTCATCTAGAGTTGTTAAATTAAAAATTTCAGACTAAGTTACTACCATGTAAGCACAATAAGCATTTGTAAACCTAATTTTTTTAGGATATAATATTAGTTGTAAACACTTATAATGCAGTGATAAAGTACAATATTATATGCTAAAGAAATACGTTTACAAATGTTATTGTGCTCACAAGGTAGTAACTTAGTCTGAAATGTTTAATAGAACAACTCTAGATGAAATGTATATGTGAACAAATTTGAATCACTATTTGGCAACAAACTGGTCAGTTTTGTCTCCGTCACCCTTAATTAATGCATAATAAGCAGTTTTTAATGATTTATAAAGTGTTTATAGAGGAATTAATAACGTATCTTTAAACTATCTATTAGCATCTATAAGGGGAGCCTTATTGTAAAGTGGTACCGTTTAATCTTCAAGAAATTGTCCAACCCTTTAGTGTTAAATTAGGATAATCTAATCTAATCTCATCAAAGTTTAGCTCAGTGTTGGTGAATTTACTCAGCAATAGTTAGTTTTGTTTTGGTTAATTAACATTAAAAGTTAATTGTATACGGCTACTTTCTGAGAGTTTCATTAACACCTGCATTAGTTCAAAAGATATTTTGCTAACAGGCAGTTGACACCAACTGTTGCGCTCAGAGAATGTGTTGGGGTGACGCAGCTTCTAAATGACCAACTCTGAGTGTAATCTGAAACGGAGTGCGTGACAAACATGTCTGTGTTCGTCAACGTTACTTAGTTGAGTTCAGGTGTTGCCTCCAGAATTGTTCAGCTGTCAGCGTGCATCAAATGGTTACTTTCTGAGAGTTGCATTAAAATACTTCAGTGATACATGAGGTGATATTTTACTGACAGAGAACGTGACACAAACCCATGGGCATGTTCAAAAAAACATTATTACCCTTCACCTTTGGCAGCAGACAAAGATAATCATATGATACAAAACTGATGGTGTGTAAATGTTTTTAGCATAAGGTTTCAATAAACTGTAATATTTGAGTTGTTCTATAAAGACTTTGGTCTCGGACACCGTAGAGTCGGACCTCATGCGTCAAACTCAAGGCCTGAAGACCAAATCTGGCCCTTGTTAAATTATTATCTGTACCCCCAAGATGATATTTTAAATGCAAAATATTTTTATCGCTGCACATTTTGCTTAAAAGACTGATAATTACTTCATTTAGTTCAGACTTCTCAAGTTTGAAGCCAGAACAAAGTAGGATTTTTAAAATTAATCTTTACTTTTGATGTGGAAAGAGCAACAGAGAACTTCAAATGAGACCCATAAATCAAACAGAACAGAAGGCGGGTATCGAGCTTGAGTTCATGTATCGACAGAAACTATGGCTGGGACCAAGTTTTTAATTATGGCCTTTGGTAAATTAGTTTGACACTCAGTGAATCCAGTTTGAACTCCTATTTTTCCAAACTGAAGCCATTCAAAGATCTACCTACACCAGTTAAGGTACCGTATTTTCCGGCGTATAAGTCACATTTATTATGCGTCATCGCTGACGCGTTGCGTTTATTATGCGTTTATTTAATGGTCCAAACAGCTTTATTTCGTCTGGGTGGGGTGGTGCCATCCATCCATCCATCCATCCATCCATCCATCCATCTTCATGGCTGGAGCCACTTGCTCTCCAGCATTCTTCCACCTGCACCAGCTGAGTGAAGCGAGCGCACATGGGAGGACTCACTGTTGCAGTTTTTAGAAATTTAAAGCATCAGTCAAAAATTGCGTTATGAATATGGAAAAAAAAATATATATATATATATATGTCACAGGACTGGCAAAACTATGCAAAAAACTGTGACTTATACACTGGAAAATATGGTACTTGTTGTTCATGGCGCTTCCACAGACTCCTCTTTAAATCTGTCCTGTTGCTGTAAAACGTGATTTAATGTTGCCAGAGCCTCCCTGAGGGTTCTTTCATTCACACACAGCAGCTTTGCAGTCTTATTTCACTCTCACTTCTTTCCTAACTCCTTGACATCTGCTTGGGGATGCTGTGCTCAGCACGGTTACCATGGAGACGGTGTGACGTCGAGGACGGATGTGGGCATCGGTGTGGAGTGACTGTGGTGGAGATGGAGATGCGTTACGACAGGCAGAGGTCTTCCAGCCTGCTGATGGGGTGTACAACAACAGAGGAGGACGAACCCTCTCACTCCTGAAGCACAGTGGCAACCCCTTCTGCCTGATTTTAATTAGATGATCAGCCCATCCACACACTGCGGCAGCTACACACATTTAGCCAATTAGGTCAATGAAAAGCCTGCTAGCACACACAAGCTAAATGAATGGGGGTGGGTGCTACTTTGGTAATCCTCGTGCATTTGATTGGTGACTCATGGGCTTCCACCACTAATTTCTCAGAATTTTACTATGAACCCTGAATATCTCAAGAAAGGAGGAGGCAGAAGGGGGAATACTGAGACTGACAGGTGGTGGAGAGAAAGGGAGACGCGAAGGAGACCATTCCGAGTTAATTTAGGACGCCTAAACCTTCCTGTCAGATACGTCGTATATGTGATTTAAATTTGTTTTAGAACCAGCCAGCAAAGGTCTGTGCACAGCCAGGATGAAGACACGCGTGTCAAGGGTTTGCACATCAATGCAGCGGCTAAACGCGTTTATACAGACAGGTCTTTGTGTAAAAACAGAATCTTCAACATATCATCTTCATCAGCTCTTCAACCAGTTTGTGTTCTGCCAGTAATCGTGCAGCAAATGCAGCAGCTTCATCTCTGCAGGGAGGAGTGTTGGAGCTGATAACAGGGAGAGGCCCACACCTCCCTGGAGACTCAGGGCAGAAATGGATAAATGGCGACATCATGTGGCTGATTCGAGTACAACACCCTTGATGATTATTTTTACTTTAAGGTACAAAATACTCCAGATGTGCACATCAGTGAAGTGTTATTTGGGCTCACATGTACCTTGCAGCATTTATTAAGAGTTCACGTAAAATAGGGACATTTTTGTTTCTGCACAAAGAAGATGTTAACGCACTGAAATCTTTTTCCGGGTCGTGAATAAAGGCAAAGCAATATGAGTTGTAAAACAGACACCAGTCGTGCTACGTTGCATAAGAACACAGTCTTTGATGCGGTAACGTTCAGAGAAATTCAGCTAACTTAGAAGTAGAGGTTAGATTTTCTCTAAATGCAACTTGATGCATTAACACACTTATTTGATCAAACATTTATTAGATCCAAAAATAGTTTTTTTCAGTATTTCATGGTGAACGATTACAAGAAAGAATTCAACTGGTGCACCAGATTTTGCCAGACTACATTCACACTGCATGTCCCAATGCTCCGTTCCCATGTGCGTCTGTGTTTTCAGAAGAAACGATGGGTGCTGCACATGTTATTAGCATGTCCATGTTGTCACGTCTGAATTTGTTGTGCGATCAGAACTGAATAAAATATTATCTGACACGAGTGTTCAGTCCAGTGTTCATATTAGACCAGCCTCTTCACTGAAGCAGAGGAGCTGAAGATGTGTGGTGTTTAATCAACGTACACAAAGTTGGCGTCAGTATCATCAGTACTCGGATCAATCGGCGTGCATCACTGACATAAAGTTACATGAACTGCAACAGACTGTTCAGACTGCAGTCGCCATGAAAAACATTAGATATGGATCTGATTTAGCATCTGATTTAAAAACATCTGCTTCGACACATTCAGACTTTCAAAAACAAACAAGCAAACAAATAAAATAAATCACTATGTGAGTCACAAATGGGCAAAACAATTAGATTTGGGCCACTTTTTCCTGCAGAGTAAACACTTTGAGGTATTTAAAGACTATTAGAAAAACATTATCTTATTTTACAGCTAGAGGACAGTCACATCAACGCTTGACCTCTCTTATAAATTCACATCTATGGATGACAGTGACATTAACTGAAAAACTTCAAATGCGTGCGAAGTTTGAAACAAATATCGTAGACGATCAAACTGCACGTCTAAATTAAAGCCAGTCTTGAGCAGCTGTGGTGGTAATACATCCAATTATTACTTTCTGCAAGTTTCAGTGACTTGAAATATTCCCTCTTTCACTGGAGGAGGGGGGAGGGGGCAAATTTATAGGGAGGCCCATTGCCCCTTGTGGCCCCTTCTTGGTGCCGGCCCTGGATTAATTTGGAAAATCTCCATCCCTCCTGTCGGAGGGATTAAATCAGCAAGTTCGTGTTTTAAAATCTCCTGGCTGCTTATGTCAGAGTGAGAGGGCAAACAGGGGGAGGGGGGAGTGGACAGTGTAGCGGAGGGGGGAGGCGTTTGGCTGCTCGGTGAAGAAGAAGAGGAGAAAGAAGAAGGGGGGGAGGTGGGGGGGCCGAGGAACGGAGTGGAGACGGGTGCAGCGGATCTGGCCCTTTAAATCATCCAAACGGCGCATTCAGGGTGAGTTTGGTGATATTCAGCTTTTTAAACAATTATATATTTACCCCCCCCCACCCAGAGGTGATCGGTGCGCCTCCGCGAGCCCACTCTCGTTGCTGGGGGGGTGGGGGTGCTTCATCGCTGTCACGAATCCGGTTTGTCCCCCGACCCTGTGCGTGCAGGGAGGGTGGAGGAGCGGGGACAGCGGCGGCTGGACTCCGCTCACCGTGTCCGAGCAGGCCCGTGTTTTTACACTGGTCCCTGCTGGATGGGGTCAGTATTTATTAATATTATTATTAATATTATTTTTATTATTTATAGTGGCTGTAGGGCGTGTCGCCACCCTGGTTGCGCCCCCCCTCTTTGCAGCGTTCCTGCTCTTCATGGGAAAAACATTTCTGCTTTTGATTATGTGCACAGCCTGCTGCTGGGTGCGCGCGCGCGATAGCGTGCATGTGCGTGTGTGTTTAGTGCGTGGATAGCCATGGGAGAGAGGACACGCTGTTCCATCTATCAAAATGCCCGCATCGTGTTTTCAGCAGCAGCTGCAGGGCTGTGGAGGACATGGCTCCGAACTGGGCCCCCATCA